CAAGAAAAATTCCAGGTTAAAGAGAGAGGGAGCAGAAGAGAAACATCTTAGAAAGTATGAGATCGTACTTCAAAGGTCACCTAGTGAACCCAACAGAAGAGGGCGCTGTAGAGTGATGCAGCTGGAAAGGCCATCCTGGCCCACTCCTCTCCTCGAACACACAGGGAAAGTCACTGCACTTAAGTGAGTGAACAACAAAGAATCATGAATCTCACTTAAAACTCTTATAAGAAAACAGAATGTGGAGTACAATAACATCTCTATAGCATAATGTAAATTAAGAAAACTATAGAAGCAATGAAAGAACATAAAACTCAGGAATTAAGTGACTGGAGAAAGGAAGATTTGAAATGAAAGGTGACAGAACTAAGGAAAGAACTAAATATAAAAATTATGTCAGAACGAAAAATACAATGACTAATGCATAAGAGAAGGATGCATAAGAGAAGGAAAAAGAAGGATGACTTTAGAGAAAGTGATACATAGAAAAGATTAAAAGAAGATCCAACATAATATAAAGGGTACAGAAGGGAAACAATACCAGAAACTATAATTCAAGAAAAAATGTTCCCAAAACAAAACATGACCCGAAACTACATACTATGACTTTTCAACAGAGACACTTTACGCCTAAAAACAATGGACTAAAATAATTAATACACACAAGGAAAGCAAACGTGAGCCATGGGTTTCACACTCATCCAACTAACCTACAGGTATTAAAGTTGCAAACAAACAACTGTGAACGTGAACTTGCAAGTATTCGGGGAACACGGTGAACGCGGCCCGAGAACCTACTTGGCTGCAGAGCAGGGAGGGGTCAGCCAGCTTTTTCTGCGAAGGGCCAGAGAGTCAATATTTCAGGCTTTACAATCCTGTGGTCCCTGTTGCACGTGCTCAGTGCTGCTGCTGCAGTGTTCGTGAATGCAGCCGTGAACGATATGGAAACTTGGGTGGGCCAGATACTGCCTGTGGCCCATGGGCTGCTGAAAGCCGTGCTGGAGAATGAGCTTCAGAAAACCAAAACAACTAGAAAGGACTCAACGTAGGACTGGTGCTGAGCATTAAATATGTAGAACTTAGACTTAATGGCTATCAGGGTATTGTCACTGGTAATGGCTAAATGCTCTGACTTGTAGTTACAGCAAAACTATTCTTGAAAATGGGGGAGCATGGTGAGCGTACATGAAGAGTAAAATAAGCTCACTTAGTGCCTTAAATGTGTTAACCAAGAGTCAAGAGATACAACTTTGAGTCAGGGGAGAAGGAGGGGAGGGATAAGTGCTAGTTAACTAAAATAATGCCCATAGGAAGGAATCAATTTACAATAGCCAAAAAGAGGAAGTTAAAGGCATTATGTTAATGTAAAGTTATCAGTATAAAGATAATCCTTAGGACAAAAACACAAACCTTCCTAAAAATCAAAAGATAAGCAAAGTGAAAAACCACACACACAAACAAAACATAATGAAAGAGACTATGCTATGGTTTATCCAAGAAAGTGGGATTATATGCTGTATCTATATATGCTATATTTAAAAATATATACACAATTGCTTATATATTTTTAAAGTGGAAGGATAAACAATAAAATTAAAAGGAACAGATTTCATCTGAAAGAAAGAATAGGGTAGAAGAGCCATCCATGCATAGGAATAAGAGATTTTGTAGAATTGACTTTGAAATTCTACATAATTTTAAGATAAAACTACATTTAAAAAGTAGTAATTCTTAAAAATTGAAAAACAAATGAGTTGTTGGCATCATTACAAAAAAGGAACTGGTCTAATAACTTAAAAATAGTAATTTGACTGTACATCCCTAGTATACTATAACCAAAAATAAAAAAAAAGTTGAAAAATACAAGGAAACATAAACTGATTTTAATAACTGTATCATCTATAGTAATGCAAACTATTGTCTTTGAACCATGGGATAAATCGGATGAGTAATTAGGTTAGTGTTCCCGAGAACTTGGATTTTTGGTGTGGTTGAAAGAGCTCTAGATGGTAAGACTGACAAGATTAAGTAAAAATGCTGTAGATTTGAATTTTATATTTCAATATAAATCCATATCTTATTTTATTAAATTTATATTTATTTCCTAGCTTTGTCCATTAAAAAGGCCTACCAACAATGACTAACCCAGTAGAATGAAGTGTTCCTAATGTTCAGATTTCCGCCTCTACCATTTTCTAAAGAAACCAGGCTCCCTTCAGCAATGACTGATTCCAGGAATGGAGCAGAAAAAAACATACAAGTGAGCCTGAAATAACTTGTCATCCCGGAAGGCACAGAGGCTACTCATCCCCTAGATACGAGGTGAGGTCATGTCAAAAGCACACAGGAACCATCCTGAAGCAGCATTCGATAGCCAAAGATGGATAAGTTAAGCATCAGTGAGAATAAGAACTGAAATGAATCAAAGCAAAACAAATGTATTTATTTATATCCATGAGTTCATAATATTAAAAAGAAAAAAAATCATTAGTTACTTTTAGAGAATGCTAATGAATGAAACTAATTATTTTGAAAACTGATGAAGGAAAAGATCAAGCGTTCGTCCTGCCTTTATTATAAATCAGTACCTCAGAGTGACCAAAGGGCTGACAAGGGGACCGTTCTCTTTACAGAGTGTTCACGTTAATAAACACAGGACTGATGAAGGCACGTCATCACTCCGTAACCTCCAAGGAAACAAGTGATCCCAAGAAGACATTATGTACTTTCTGAGGAAGTACATGGCCTAAAACAAAATGGGTCAGGCCTCTAGATCTAACTACCAACTTACCAAAAATATATGGACTCGAGGAACATAGAAATCGTGGGGATGCAATCATAAATATTCAGGCTCTACAGGAAAATCCTGTATCACACGGTTTCTTCAGTAACAAAAATTGCAAGGAAACAAAAGAGCTAGAGGGGCTAGGTGTGGTGGCTCACGCCAGTAATCCTAGCAGTCTGGGAGGCCAAGGTGGGCGGATCGCTCGAGTTCGAAACCAGCCTGAGCGAGAACGAGGCCCCACTTCTACTAAAAATAGAAAGAAATTAATTGGCCAACTAAAAACATATATACAAAAAATTAGCTGGGCGTGGTGGCGCATGCCTGTAGTCTCAGCTACTTGGGAGGCTGAGGCAGTGGGATCGCTTGAGCCCAGGAGTTTGAGGTTGCTGTGAGCTAGGCTGATGCTATGGCACTTACTCTAGCCTGGGCACAAAGTGAAACTCTGTCTCAAAAAAAAAAAAAAAAAAAAAGAAAGAAAGAAAAAAGAGGTAGAGGGGAAACCTGTAGATTAAAAGAACTTAAGATACATAATCACAATGTATAGATCTTACCTGGATTCCAATTCAAACAGACAAAAGGAACAAAAACATACAAGACTATCAAGAAAATGTATAAACACTAAATCTGATATTAAAGAATTGTTTGGGTTTTATATTGTTTTGTGAAAAATGGGCATTTTATTGTATTTAAGGAAAAAAGTTCTTATCTTAAAGATGATGAAGGTAATAGATAATGAAATAGTTACACATGAAATGATACAATGTCTAGGATTTGCTGCAAAATAGACAGGAGATGTAGGCGAATGGATAGAGAATTAAGACTGATATGATCACAGACTATGGATGATTGCTAGAGTTGAATTAAAGAAAAGGGTCATGTATTTTATTGTGGCAAACTATAAATAGACTATATTTAAACTATAAACAAACTATAAATAAACTGTCTTATTTCTGTATGTGATTTGATTTGAAGCATACCTAAAAATACTCAGCGTTGCCATTTCATACTTTTTTTCTTTAAATACAAGATATTTTAAATGCAACTAAAATTGTTTTCCAAAATGCCTAACACTTAAAACACATAATTCTTCTATAAAGACATTATATACTAAAAATAAGAAAAAAAACCTGGTTTGCTGGATTTGCTAAAATATTAATGGGCAAATTAGAGAGAGGGTCTTGCTCTGTCACCCAGGCTGGAGTGCAGTGGCCCAATCACAGCTCACCACAGCCTCGACTTCCTGGGCTCAAGCCATTCTTCTACCTCAGCCTCCTGAGTAGCTGGGACTACAGGTGTGTGCCACCACACCTGGTTAATTTTTTATTTTTTGTAGAGATGGGGTTTTGCTATGTTGCGCAGGCTGGTCTTGAACTCCTGGCCTCAAGGGATCCTCCTGCCTCCACCTCCGAAAGTGCTGGGATTATAGGTGTGAGCCACCACTCCCAGCCTTAGAAAATGTCTTTAAAAAGAAACCGCAGCATTTGCTGCTGTTAAACATAATGTCAAACATTGTTTTAAAATCTCATTTAAAAAATGTACTTTTTCGTTATAATCTTAAAAAAAGACTCCCAAACCCAAGATGCTTTGGTAGAATTTGCCAACTGCCAAAAATGGGGCAAGTAAATTCCAAAAATACCAGGTTTGGGGACTTAAGTACGGGTTTTCGTGTGCGCATTGAGTGTTGGTTTATCATAGCTCACACATTTGAGGCCCATGGGACACAATCTGACTTGCAGACAAGTTGTTTGGCTTACATGTTTTTTCTGTTTGTTTTTAAGAAAAATTTGATTCAACATTTTAAATTCAGGATGTTTCACATAAAAATGCAGATTTTGACAGAGCTACATGAAACAATGGGCAGAGCAAATCGGTGGCTGCTTCCTCAGGGGCCTGGTGCTTTCCTGTTCCCCACTGTCCCTCTCCCACCTCCGTGGTTGGCACAGATTAAGGGCCAGTCTCCTTAGGCACCTGTGTCTGCCATCACTACTTACAGCCTGACACTGTTTTATGAGTGTTTTCCCCTTACTCTTAATGAAGAAGTAGAACAGCAAAAATAAGGTACCTATGAGCCAGTATTATTCAGTTTTGCAGTTTAAAAAATGCAAAAAAACCTGCCCCTCAAAACCTCGGCACATTCATTACTCTTATAGCACAGACATAAAATGCTATCTGCAGATTCTAAAGTGTTTTTCTTTAACAGCACAGCGGGGCTTACCTTCAGATCAAGGCTGCTGAGGCTTACAACATCATCATCTTTCTCTCTTCGTTTTCTTTTCTATAAGAAAAAAACAATGTCATTTTCATGCAGAAGGAATGCATTTTACCCCATTAAACAGACACTCTGTACAACTAAAAGAAAAAAAAAAATCACTTTAAAAAAGTTAAGCATTGGCTGTATTCACAAGGCAATTACTTTGATGAGGGATGCTCATAAATCGTCTCTAGCATGTGTACTCCCTAAATAGCTCCCTAAGCCATCTCTTTGCTGTAAAGTGATTCCACCCTATTAAAAAACTTAGTTATGTAAAGTTTTTCAGAACTCTTATGTAAGTCAAGGGCTAGCTGTACTAGTTAGAGAAAAAATAAAATTTATGTATAAAGGCAACACTTTTTTTTTTTTTTAAAGGAACACATTTATCCTATGGAGGAGTCCTTTACTAGAAAAAGAGACATCCTTTTTTCACTGCCCAAAGTAATATTTGTTGCCTGAGGGAGGATTTATTCACTGGAAGATGAACAGCCATGTTCCTGAGTACTTTGCAGTAATCATTCATCACGGTCACTCAGCCCTGCTGCCAATGGCAATGGCAAAACTCTGTACATAGCTAACATTTCTGGTTCTTAATCAGTATTGAATAAGCACCTGTAAGTAACATTCACTCTCCCACATCTCAAAATAACTTTTCAGATTACTTGTGACACAGCCTAGTTCTTGTGAACTCTCAAGTGACTGGCCAGGGCTCGCTTCCAGTTCCTGGCCCCACACTAAGGAGAAACTGCTGGGAATTGAATCAAAATCAAGCAGGATAGGGACAATAGAGGAAAGAGAAAAAGAAAAGGCAAAGTCCAGATAGCAGGAGGCCGCAGAAAGCAGCTCTCATGAAACCACCACCCGGGCAGCTCTGTGCAGTTAGAGAAGCTATCTGAACCAAGTCCATGTGCACAAACTAAATTTTGGAAATAGTGGAAAACTAAATTCACATTAAAATGAACAGAAAATTCTCAAGTCCTACACACAATCGCTCTGGGAAAAAAAGAGAACAAGGGACAGAATGCCATCCCCTTAGGAAATGAAGGCACACCAGGAGGAAAATGCTAAAACAAGCAGGATAAAACATAGCATACTATTTCAAAGTCTGCTAAAAGACACTAAGAAAATGGCAGGAGACATGAAAAAACAATATAAATCAGAATTGGAAAAAACTCAAAAAAGGTGACAGAATTTAAGAAATCTTTATTGATCCCAAGGTTGTATCCAGAAGATGTAGAAAAGTATGACTAATATGATTTCAGTTTTGAAAAGTCAACCAACCAAAAATCCTGCACCTGTGTATCTACCTGTGAGCATGTGTAACAGTCAGTAACATGAGCAAAATAGAGAGGGATACACGCGGTGCTGTTGGCAGGATCAGAGAAGAGGCTGGGGATGGCATTACATGGGGAAGGAGACGGAGGAACCTGCCTAGAAAAAGAGTGTAGTGAGGGGAAAAAGCACATATATGACCATACTTATGCACTTATATGAAATTGTATACATGTGAGTATATGTATAATGAAATTTAACAGATTTTGAAACATTCTACTGTAATTTCTTTGAAATATCTTAAAGTTCTGTATTTCACATTTATCTCTTTAATCCTTCTGGAATTTACTTTTGTATGTGTGTGGCATGAGGTAGGACAGTCAGTTGCCCCACCCCTAACACCATTTGTTGAATGGTGCTCATCACATCTGTGACCCAGTAAGTCCTTATAGCTATGTGGGTCAGTTTCTGGGTTTTTTTATTTTGTTCCACTGATCTATTTATTATTTATTTATCCCTGTGCTCATATCACACTGTGTCTTAATAGCGAATACAGTAAGTCATAAGCTCCCTACCTTGTATACTGCTTTTATTGTTTTGGGCCTTCTCCTCTTCCACATGAATTGCAGAATGAGATCTATTATACTAAACTCTAATGGAATTTCTATTAAAACTGTACTGAATTTATGGAGTAATTTGCAGAGAATTGACATTTTTACAATATTGAGTCTTCCTCGCATGAATATGCCATCTCTCTCCATTTCATTAGGACTTCTATGTTCTTCATTAATGCTTTCCAATTTTCCCCATAAAGGGGGTTTCACACATTTTTTCATGGATTTATTATGAGTTTTAAAAACTTATTCCTATTTTGGCAGGAGGATCTTTAAAATTATTATTTTATTGCTTATTGCTATTATATATAGTCTATTGATTTATTTTTATGATTCTTATAGCCAGTAAGCTCTCATACGATCAACAGCTGCTATTAATATTCTCTTGGATGTTCTGTGCAGACAATCACTGTCTGTAAGTAATGAAATCATACTGTCTCTTCCTTTCTAATTTGTATACCACTTGTTTTTGCCTTACTGTATTGGCTTACGGCATTGCAAACACGATGATGGCAGTCTTTTTTCTAAATTTAAAGAGAATATTTCTAACATTTTATCATTATATATATTGTTTGTGGCGGGTCCCAGAGCTAAGGAAATTCTCTACTACTCTTGGTTTGTCAAGAGTTTTATCATGATTGAGTATTGATTTAAATTTTCCCACTGTTACCTTTCTTTCTGTTTTCTTTGGTTTACTCCATTGTTCATTTTCTAACCTCTTGAGTTAAGAGTCTTAGCTCATTAATTTTTATTCTTTTTCAAACTATACATTTAAAACTTGTAAATTATCCTGTTAGTAATTTTATAATCCTTAATAATATCCCCAAAGTTTTGATACATAAACCATGAGATATTTCTTTTGTCATGGGAGACTTCTACCGAAGTGTTTTCCCAAGTGGGATGTATCCCTCTCAGAGGGTAAGCAAGATATTGTCCCTGGAGTACAGGAAAAAATATTGGAACTTCTTTTTTATATATTTTACATTCTTTAAAAATAAGCTTTACTAAAAATTAACATATAGATGATGAGTTCATCATCACTTATAAGGCTAAAAACAATGATGATCTAATCTGACCCAATAAGAAGTCAGCCCCAAACTCTGAAATTGTCACGGCTATTAGAAATATAGATTTATGCTCACTAGCGTTAACCCGTAAGTGTATAGTGTGCTTTGAGACATTAGCTCATAATGGTAGAGAGAGAGTGTGTGTGTACCTGTGAGTGAAAGGGATCAAGATGGGAAACGTTTTAAAGGAAAGTGCAGAATTGCATGAAAATCATGAGACTCTTGCCAAGAATGCTTTACTGGCCAAATAATGTATGTAATGGGTGTAACAGTACAGAAATATCAAACAAGAATGCCCAATAGAAATACATATTTAGGCCAGGCGCGGTGGCTCACGCCTGTAATCCTAGCACTCTGGGAGGCCGAGGTGGGCGGATTGCTCGAGGTCAGGAGTTCGAAACCAGCATGAGCAAGAGCGAGACCCCGTCTCTACTATAAATAGAAAGAAATTAATTGGCCAACTAATATATATAGAAAAAATTAGCCGAGCATGGTGGCGCATGCCTGTAGTCCCAGCTACTCGGGAGGCTGAGGCAGTAGGATTGCTTAAGCCCAGGAGTTTGAGGTTGCTGTGAGCTAGGCCACGGTACTCACTCTAGCCTGGGCAACAAAGCGAGACTCTGTCTCAAAAAAAAAAAAAAAAGAAATACATATTTAACACGAAAGAACAGAATACAAATTGAATATGTATTGCTGAAACCAACAGAACATCATCAAAACATATACACAAGTAATATTTGAGAAACTAGAGACAAAATCATTTTTTGCTATTTCCCCCAAATAAGAAAAGCATAAAATCATTTATCTATTTGTACATTATTTATTTATATATGTATTATGAGCTAATAAGTTTTAAGTACAAAAAGAATTGATTTTCTGTGGTCATTTCATACAAAATTAAATGCATCTGTAGTCTTGCTCTAAAAATAATGAAACAGTCTCTCTATTTTGAGATGATTAGCAGTAGAAAATCATTCATTCATTACATATATATTATCTGCAATCAATTTACTTAAAATAAAAATTTGTTTCAGCTTATTAGCAGAAAAGGACTAAATTAGGCTGCCAAAGATGGCTGCAGAAATTCTGTTCCTTGAGATAGTCACAAGTACAGACCACTGAGCTATACCCTCTGAATGAAAGACAACCCAAGAATTAATTCTATCTAAAATCTGGACATAAAAAAAACTCGGTATCTACTTACCAAAGTGAAGTCCCAGTGGGTGCCAGGTGTTAAAAATGTGAAGGAACTACCTCTCCGAAGGGTGTATCTGATAAGAGAAAATCCAAACAATAAACAGAGAATAACTTTTGTATAATAAAGCACTAGGCACATAAAAAGCTGTTTAAAGTAGTCTGATTTGTCATGCAATCTTAAAAGTTAAGAGGGATGGTATGCAAAACAAAACAGAACAGGGTATAGGTTCTGGTCATTTTCAGAATCTTTACAGTGAAAGAGCCTTCTTAACATTAGTGAACAGATTATTTTAAAAAATAATTCACCAAACCAAGCACAGTTTATGTTAGGAGCATGAACATGGTTCAATAATATGAAATCTATTAATATATTGCCTTAACAGGTTAAACAAAAAACAGCAAATAAATTTCCTTAGGCACAAAAAATTTGATAAAATTTAACACTCACACTTAATATTTAAAAAGGATACTTTTAACAAACCAAACTCAAGTGCGCATTATTTACATTTTATATAAAATTCTTCTGATTTTTAAAAATTATAATTTAATGAAAAGCTTTGAATAACTACATTTGAGACAAAGGTCTCAAGTAAGATTAAAATTTGACTAGAATTTTGTTTTTTACTGTTAAGTGACTAATTTTCCTTTTGTGTTTTCTTTCCATTCAATGTAAAGAAATAAAGCAAGAGAATCCTGTGAGAAAACATGTCTCTACTTTTCTAAAATAGAAACTAGTATGTTTATAAAATATAAACCTCTGCGTTTATAATCACAAAATGTAGCTAGGAGACAGTTTATAAGCTATACTTATTGTTACTCACTTCAGATGTAAACAAATGTTGGATGAACAGAGATTTTTTTCCCTGTGGAAACAAAGACCAACCAAGTGAGCAAAGCAAAGGCTACTTATTAAGAGCTTGCTTTGCAGAAAAGGAGGTAACTTAAAAAAAAAAAAAGATAAAAAATTTAATGTTTTTATACTTTTTTTTTTAAAGAGAAAATTTAAAAAAAAAAGAGCTTGCTGGAGCAAGAGAGTCAGCTAGTCACTTGCGTTTGGTAGAGCAGTGTGAAGCTTCATAGTGGAAAGGAAGGCTCAGGTACGTCTTGATTGGCGGTTGTTGGCTGGGGAAGCTGTAGGCACTAATTAGAAGGGGGGCAGTCTACTGTGATTGGTTTAGAGGATGGGGGTGGGGATATTTGGCTTTCTATGGCTGCTTCTAATTGGGAAGCAGGACAAAAATTAGGATGCTGGTAGTTATTAATGACGTCCTGGCCATTTTAGGCCAATTGTTAAAGGAGTTATTCTTTTGCTTCTTGGATTATCAGGTCCATTGTCCATCTTACATTTGTCCTGTCAACACTGACTCTCATGGTCATTGTCTGCTATAGGTTATAGAAACACCACTGATGTCTGTCTTTCCTGCAAAAATTTACACGCTTAAATGAAATATTAATACAAGGGCTTCTGTAGTTTTCTAAGCTAAATATTAAAGCAGAAGTTTAAATTTGACAAGGAACACAAAGGAAAATGGCTATACAGAGAAAGAGGAGGTCAGGAAGGCTTTCACAGAAGAATTAACACTTAAGTAATACTAGGTATTACTGAATCTGAACGAGAAATAGCAGTTAGCAAAGCATTTATAGGTAGAGTGAAATGAGGCATTTGGGAAACTGGAAGTAGTTCCTTATGTTAGAGTACCAAAAGAAATAAGGGCTAAGATCATCATGAAAGGCCTCACTTGCTACACTCAGAGTATGGAATTGGTCTTGAATTCGTGTGGCAGCTACTGAGTTCTACGAAACATGAAGGATGGGTTGGAAGAAGGCAAGACTGCTCAGGAAGACCAGTTAGGCGGCAGTGCTGATATTGCCTACAACAGAGGACAGGGGGCTGTGGCAATGGTAACTAGGTTAGAGAGAAGCAGATTTTGAGCCGATTTGTTCAGCGACAACATTGGTGGGACGGACTTTTCCTTTTCCTCCCTATACCTGTTCAGTTGCTGCCAAGGTTCCTGATATGGGGAAATATGATTTAATAGATACAGAGACATATTAAGGTATTTAGAAATTAGAAATAGATGCAAAGAGATATTAAGACATTTAAAGCAAACGTTTCCTCAATAATTACTAGGGAAAGATCAAAATATAATAAGACTCATTACTCATGGAACTCAAAACTTTTTTTTGAGGGCCTCTTTAGTGAAGCAAAAGAACTTTAAGGAACTGATTATCCCAACTTTTCTTGTCACTGCAGAAGAGTCAAGCAACAATAAAGAAAATGGTATATATATTTTTTTTAATAAAACACTGGAACAAGGTATTAAAGTTAAACAAAAAAGTTGTGTGAAATAAATTATAATTCATATCACAAGATACATGGTATACTATTATAAACAAATGGTAAAAGATCATGAGGAAGACAGGACCTCAAGACCATGCGAGTCCACTCAGCCAGCGCACTTTTTAAAAACACTGCTGTAGGAAAGCGCCATTGTATACAACCTGGGTAAAAAGAGCCATCAGTGACCACTGGGTTGAGAAGCAGCAATTATGATCTCCCCGAAGATTACTTTTACTCTAATACAAATATACATTATAAAGTAGTATTCACAGTGGTACTTAAAATGTTCAGTAAATACTTCCTTTCCGGTATAAGACAAGTGTTAGGGGGAATAACAAAGCCAAAGCTATTAATTTCTTTACTCTCTACTAGCAATGGCCACACTGACCTCAGAATGAATTTGATGCCTGAAAGCTGGAAAGAAAAATAGCTTTTAGGAATCTTAAAAAGGTTAACAAACTGGAAAAATATCTCCAACTGGATGGTAAAATTCTTTCCAGCACTATCTAATCAGCTTTACAGTAATGCTATTTTCTCTCATTTCAATAACAAGTTCCTATTTATTTTGAATGCACATGGAAAAAAGGAACCCAAAAAAACAAACTGTGCCCAGAAAGTATGTGAGGCAGTGCCAACTTTCACAAATCTTGGAAAGACATGCACTCATTTTTCATAGGGGTCAGACTCAAAATATAATAGCTATTTTAAACCCTTGTGGGAAAAAAAAAATTTATATTTCATAAAACATTAAGATTACAAGTGGTATTCCCAGAAGATTCACGGGACAACCTACTTAAACATGGTGGAGGATGGAGGGAACAATTGCTAAAGGGTACATGTTTTCTTTTTGAGGTGATGAAAATGTTCTAAAATTGACTGTGGTTATGTTTGCACCTCTCTGTGAATATACAAAAAAAAAATATTTAAATGGATAAATTATAGGGTATACATATATTTTTAAAGAAAATGATACTTTCATTTTCTTGTATGCTGTTTTTTCTTTCAGAGTAGTTTCTACTGAGTTTAGCCAGCAAAAAGTTTTTTAATATATACAATCCTTTTGCTTATGATTACTGCTTCTAATACGGTGCTTAAACAGTTGTTTCTTGCTCCATTATTGATACTATCTTGTCATATTTTGTATATTCTTGTAGATGATCTTGCCATCTTTTCTGGATAATGGAATATAGGTCACTTCATTATTCCCTATTTTCCCTCCACAGTTCTTCTAACTTCATTATTCTCCTCATGCTGCCTATGTCACTACCCTTTTGTCACAAAATATCATTTCCTACCTCACACAAAAAATAGCAACCTGGTGGGAAAGCCCTCGAATTCCTGCTCACAACCCACCCCATTCCCCAAACTTATCTATGACTGTATCATCATCCATAGCTCCTTGCCTAGGCTAAATTCTCTACCTCTAATTTGGATTCCATCCTTTTCTGCCTTCTTGAATCCTTGCTTAATCATTTCTCTCCTGTCTCTTCTACCTCTCCTTTTACTTGCTTATTTCTCTCAGCACATCAAGTTTATCCCTTCTTGAGAGTCTGTCTCACAGACCTGTGTCCCCTTCTTCTATTATTCTTTTTGCACTGAAACTTCTTGAAAGTGCAGTCCGCACACAGCGTTTCCTGTTTTCCAGCCCCACCGCCAGCTATCAAACATTCATCATTTTCATCTAGGCTACTGCAGGCTGACTTCCCACTGATCCATCATCTACAATCAGGATTTTTAATTTGGTATACATAGAGGGGTACACAAATCTCCTGAAACTTGATGTATGTGATCCCTTTTTTGGGGAATAGTTTTCCTAAGATTTAAAGAGTGCCATGGACCCCAAAATGCTGCTTATTTTTCTCATGGAAGACTGCCTTTTTTTTTTTTTTTTTTTTTTGAGACAGAGTCTCGCTTTGTTGTTCAGGCTAGAGTGAGTGCCGTGGCGTCAGCCTAGCTCACAGCAACCTCAAACTCCTGGGCTCCAGTGATCCTTCTGCCTCAGCCTCCCGAGTAGCTGGGACTACAGGCATGCGCCACTATGCCCGGCTAATTTTTTTATATATATATCAGTTGGCCAATTAATTTCTTTCTATTTATAGTAGAGACGGGGTCTCGCTCTTGCTCAGGCTGGTTTCGAACTCCTGACCTTGAGCAATCGCCCGCCTCGGCCTCCCAAGAGCTAGGATTACAGGCGTGAGCCACAGCGCCCGGCCAGAAGACTGCCTTTGCCATGGGCTTGTTTAAAGTCTTACAGTATTTCCCCATCATATTAAAGATAAAAATCCAAACTCTACTGATACATACAAGGCCCCTTTGTGATGTGGCTCTCACCTCTTTAGCAAGATCTCTTATCACTACCTCCTCTCCCTCTCCCTGTCTTGGCCTCCTCCCCTACACAACTAATTATGACACCCAGAACTCATTATGCCCATTTGCTTCAGGGCCTTTTCACACCCTTCTTCCCTACCTGAAATCACCCAGTTACACAAGCTCCCTACACTAGTCCTCTAAGACTCAGAGATGACCACAGGGAATCATTTCCTGTTCTTTCCAGTCAGGACTAAGTGTTCTTTTTATCTGTACCCCTGGCATTCTGTGTATACCACTACAGTAACTTCATCACACACTATTACGTTAACTTACTTATCTTTCTTCCTCACTAGATTATAAATTTTTAAGGAGTAAGGCCAGTATTTTCATCTCCATATTCCCAGTGTCTGGCCCTCACACGTTTCCTGAACAAATCACATCACATTCTCTTCACAACCCACTGCAAACCATTCTAAAATAACTATTGTAACTATTCTGCGGAAGCCATCTAAGATCAATATGCTTTTCTCATTGCCAAATGATTTTTTCATTTCTCATCTAGTTTGAACATTTTGGTCCTTACTTTGCTTGACCCACCAGCCACAGCTGACAGAGCTGACCATGTCCTCTTTCTTGAAATCTTTCTTCATTTGGCCTCCTAGATACTGTTCTCACTTGGTTCTCATCCCACCTCACCAGCTGCTCCCCAGACATTTAAATGTTACGAGTGCCTCAGGGGTTAGTCCTCAAAATCATCTTGGTTTATACTCACTACCCCGATGACTTTCAGGTACTATGATTAAGTCTATTTGCTGACAATTCTCAAATTTATATCTGGTTACACAGGTGGGTTCACTTTGTGAAATTTCACTTATGATTCATATACTCTCATTTGAATGTATACTTTAATAAAATGTTAAAAAAAAGAAAAAAGTTGTGATGATGAACTCTTTAGTAGGCATCTCATATCCCAAAGCAAGCTTCTCCCCTGGTCTCTCCTTTTCTGAGACCATGAAAATCCATTCTTATAAACTCAGGCCAAAACCTTGGAGTCATCCTTCATTCCTTTAACTCCACGCTGCCTACCTCTGCATATCCTGCCAGCGCTACCTTCAGAATACATCCCAAATATGAAAAACCTTCACCACCTCTATCACTCTCATGTGATAGAGCTCAATTACAATAATCTCCTAATCGGTCTTCCTGATTCTATCCTTGCAACATAATAGAGTGATCCTTTTAAAAATGCAGATCTCATCATTACCATCGCTTCCCACTAATCCACTAAGTCAAATTTCAAGGTCTTGCAAGGCCCACCAGTGCTACCTGGTCTGGCCCAACCATCCCTCTCACCTCATCTCCTACCATTCCTCCCATGCTGCACTGCATTCCAATCACATTTTGAAGTTCCTTGAATACACCAAATAGATTCTTCTTCAAAGCTTTGCATTTGCTGCTCCTCTCTGCCCAGAACACTCTTTCCCCAAATATTTTACATGCTCATTCTTTCTTTATTTCCTTCGGGTCTCTGCTCAAAGTCACCATCATCATCAGAAAGGCCTTCCTTCTGATTTTTTAAACATAACAACATTGCCACCTACCATGCCTTAATTCTCTTCACAGCGTGACCACCTGTTATTTTATATATTTATTCGATTGTCTTTTTCCCCCAACCAGAATTTAAGCTCCATGACAGCAGGGACTTCAACTGTTTTGTTCACCAAAATTCTCAATATTGTATCTATAACAGTATCTGAGACTAGGGTAGGTGCTCAGTGGTTTTTATAAAGGAATGTAGAATAAACTTAACACTGCCTTCATTTGATATTCCGAAATTCTATTTTCCCTTAACTAGTCATTCCTGGTTCTCCTATTTCTCAGTCTCAGAGATAATGACTTCTTTCTCACAGGCTATAATAGGTATGGTGGTTTTAAAAAAGGTATATTCAGGTTAAGAATTACCTTAAACTTAAAACTAATAAAAATAAGTATCCAGTGAAAAAGTCGAGCTCCCAACAGAGTAACTTACAATGGGTTTCTGAATGCATTGTTGGTGAGGTGTTATCCTATTTCTCAAGCAGGAACTGGCATATCTAGGCCTGACTGGAATGTAAATTATGTAAAGGACTGTAGTGTATCTGAAACAGCAATGTCAAGTGGACACAAGGACTTCTGAAGAGAGGGAGATGTGGAATTGTTCTTACAGCTAAAAACTGGCAGGTAACAGTTAACATTTATTGAGAGCTTTCTGCATAGAGGCACTATGCTAAGCACTTTGCATTCACTATCACTGAAATTCACTGAATTTCACAATGACCTTATATAAAGTGGGTGCCCTTACAACACCATTTAACAGACAAGGATATATCCTTAGAGACGTCAGGGGACATCCAAGGTCGCACAACCTATCACTGGAACCTACAAACTCCAAGATGGGAAAACATGTCTTCAGCACTTTTTACCTGGCTCCTCCACCAGACAGAGCCTTCTGAAACTCTTAAATCTAGCGAGCACCCTTTCCAGACACACACAGTGAACACAGAAGGCAGAATGTGAAATGCCTTAATTAAAAAGCTAGTGGCCATCCTCTTTTTATCCCCCTACGAGGGAGGCTGGGACCTTGAGCTGTGCTGTGTTCACTTCACTCATCGTGGCCAGTGGAGGAGAGTTCTGGTCTCCCGAAAACATTTCACCGAAACACTGGCTTTCAGGCTAAAAGCTAGGTGCCTGCTCTGCCAACAGGATTCCTCTTTCCCTTACACCCCACCCTGCCCAGAACCAGTTGGGCAGGGGGCACAAAGCCACTGCTGCTTTTCCTACACACCCCGCGGGAAGGGGTCAGGACTGGATGGCCAGCAAGTCTGCCCCTTCTCTGAGGGGCTGGGAAGTCCTGGTCTGGGGCCTTGGCACTGACGTCAGCTCCAGGCCAGGCCCCCCCCTCGCTCCAGACCTGCAGGGGCCCTCCTCACCCCGCCCAGCGAACTCACCTCCGTATCTCCCCTGACAACGGGTTTATGAATGCATTGCTGATGTGTTATCCCATCTCTCAAGAAGGAACTGGCATATCTAGGCCCCGCACTGCCCCCCACGCTCACCCAGCAACCCCAGGACCCCCATCCCCACACTCACCTCCCTCCACCACTCACCCTATTACCCTGCAACCCCTCCCCCCTGCTCACAACGCCCCACACTCACCTGCCCCGTCCCCCTTCACTCTCCTCCCCCTTTTACCTCCTACCCTGGCTCTCACCCCGCCCCCACACTCACCTCCCTCCACACTCACCCCATTACCCTGCCACACCCCTCCTCACCCCGCCCCCACACTCACCTGTCCCCTCCTTACCCCGCCCCCATACGCACCTCTCCCGCACTCACCTCCCTCCACACTCACCTCTCCCGCACTCACCCCGCCCCCACACTCACTTCTCCCGCACTCACTCCGCCCCCACACTCACCTCTCCCGCACTCACCTGCCCGGCTCTCACATTCACCCCGCCCCCACACTCACCTGCCAGGCCCTCACACTCACCCCGCCCCCACACTCACCTCTCCCGCACTCACCTGCCCGGCTCTCACATTCACCCCGCCCCCACACTCACACTCACCTGCCCGGCCCTCACACTCCACCCCACCCCCACACTCACACTCACCTGCCCGGCCCTCACACTCCACCCCACCCCCACACTCACACTCACCTGCCCGGCCCTCACCCCGCCCCCACACTCACCTGCCCGGCCCTCACACTCACCCCGCCCCACACTCACACTCACCTGCCGGCCCTCACCGCCGCCCCCACACTCACACTCCCTGCCCGCCCTCACACTCCACCGCCCCCACACTCACACTCACCTGCCCCTCCCTCCACCCCGCCCCCACACTCACACTCACCTGCCCGGCCCTCACCCCGCCCCCACACTCACCTGCCCGGCCCTCACCCCGCCCCGCACTCACCTCTCCTCCGGCCCGGGTCCCGGCCCCGGCCCCGGCCCCTGCCCCGGGGTGTCGGCCGCAGGCCCCGCGGCGCCCTCCGCGCTCAGCCCAGAGGCCCGGCGGCTTCTCCTCCGCGGCCGGGGCTGCTTCTGAGCCGCCAGCTCGGGCTCCATGGCGCGGAGGAGGGGGTGGGGCGGTGGCCGCGTGCCCGGGAGACCGGCAGGGGCGGGCACGGTGCCCGCCGGCCTGTGCCAGGCAGAAGGCGCCTGTCAGCGGAGACCCGCCGCCGCCGTCATCCGGGGATTTGAAAATGGCGGCTGCGCGGCGTTCGGCCAATCAGAGAGCGGGCGGCGGTTGCTAGGAGACGCGCAGTCCCGCCCCCTCGCCGTCCTGCCGCTGGGAGCCCCGAGGAGCCCAGAGAGGGGGCGCAGGTGGCCTGCAGGGAGCCCGGGGAGCTCGCCTTTAATTCTGACTCCACCTCTGCAAGGAGGTCGAGAGTTTTTAAAAGAGCAACACTGAGTATGTCAGTGGGATACTGCAATGAGATTTGCAGATTATGTGATTTTTCCCTCATCTTGTTTCAGAGTGAAAATATCAGGGGCCAATGGGGGTGATTTGAAACAGCAATAAAATGAATATCATTCTGGAGGGGGGAAATGGGCATTTCTTGAAACCTTAAAATCTGTACCCCCATAATATGCCGAAATAAAAAAAAAATGAATATCATTCTGACTTTGTAGCTTACTCCTCCTTTTTGTTATATGGGACTACCAGGGCCCTGGAAAATTTGGGGGAATTGTTGACAGATAGGAGTTGACTTTATGAAGATCAAAAACAGAGACGAGTATAACTCATAATTTAAGTTCAAGAGAAAACTGCCCCAAAACACTACAGTGTTTTCGTTGTCTCAGAGTTGTGAGGAAGGAGTTGTACAAACCAAGAGTTTTGAGTGATAAAAATTTTATTTTGATTACTGAATAAATAATAAAATTGTTACTATGCTAACAAACAAACAAAAAAAAATTCAAAGAAGACCAGAAAAGAGAGAAAGGACAACTCAGAACAGAGGAACATGCAGAAAGCACAAAATAAGATATTAATAGTATGTCTAATTGCTTCTCAGCCTTTTGGCTAAGATCAAGGGTAAATAGTATATCTAAATCTAACTATGTTATCATATCAAACATAATGGACTGAATTTTCCCATGAAAAGATAAAAATAGAAAAAAATTCAACTATATTATACTTTTGGAGGACATATCCAAAATAGAGTGCTGAAAGATTTTTGAGTTTCTAAGAATGTAAAAATATGGGAAAAGACATCATTCAAACACTAACCAAAAATATCCGTATTAAAGTAGAGGTGATGATATAGTTTATCATAAACACTTTAAGGCAAAGCTCATTAATCTAGGTAAAGAGTCATTTAAAAGCGCTAAAAAGCTTTGATTCCACAGAAAACACGATAATTTAAAATCTTTCTCTGTTATTTATAACATAGTCTCTCTCTCTCTCTAAAGCAAAAATTGCCAGATTAAGAAATAGTAGACAAATCTCAAACATAACGGAAAATTTTAACACATCATTTGACATAATGGATACTCAAAATTCGGACTACATGATAAATCAGTTTGATTTAATGCATCTATCTAAAACATCGTATTCTTTTCAAGCATTCATGGAACATTTTCAAAAATTGACCACATAGCAGAATATAAAGGAAGTTTTAACAAATATGTAAAGAAAAAAATCATTTTAACTATGTTGTCTGATCTTGATGCAATGAATCGAAATTAATATGTTATGAATAATAATATAAAAATTTTAAATGAAATAAATAATGAAAACCTAGAAACCCCCTGTACGTTTGGATGTGGTAGTGGTTGAGGGGCCTGGTTTGCTTGATTTATTTAGGGATTGTTTGAATCTTATTTAAGATAGTCATCTGGTATTTATGCAATAGAAAAAGCTTATTTTGCTGTTGTAACAAAGTTTGCTCATACTCTTTCCTTTTCCTTGTCAATGCTTAATAAATTCTTAATATAAGGGGAGGGTTTTCTTTCTTTTTTTTTTTTTTTTTTTTTGTGGGGAGGACAGTTTCACTCTGTCACCCTGGGTAGAGTGCAGTGGTGTCATCATAGCTCACTGCAGCCTCAAACTCCTGGGCTCTTGGAATCCTCCTCCTGCCTTAGCCTCCTAAGTAGCTGGAACAACAACAGGTGAGCGCCACCACACCTGGCTAATTTTTCTGTTTTTAGTAGAGACAGGGGAGGTCTCACTCTTGCTCAGGCTGGTCTCAAAACTCCTGACCTCAAGCGAGATCCTCCCTCCTCGGCCTCCCAAAGTGCTGGTATCACAGGTGTGAGCCACCACACCCTGGCCAAGAGGAGGATTTTTTTTTTTAAAGACTCTTGTTATTTTCAACACAGGTATAAGTTGGAAGCAGATTTGGATAAGCACGAGGGAATTCATCTGTATGTAGTTGAGCACACACTCTACCCCAGGTTGTTCAGGGTGATCCGATTGTAGCTACTCTGAGACCAGAGATCAAAAACACTAAAAAGAAGCTGTACTACTTTAAGAGAAGACAGAGCTTCAGCCCTCAGGTGGAGCCATTTCCGGGCCCTGAGATAAAGCTTGGCTGGGGAAGCTCCTGGATCCTTCAAACATTACTCCGGCCCTCTGTCTCAGCATGGTAAGTGGCTCTGCCTGGTGCCTGTTGACGGCTGATTCCCTGTGTTAGCAAATCCGACTCTTCGCTCCTGGCCCATTTCCCCAGCAAACAATTCTTAAAACAAGAGAAGAAGTTTTTTAGAAAGACATTGGTTTCTATCCATGTACCTAAGTTGGAAGCAGGTTTAGACGGGGCTCTTCTCTACTCACCTGTGGTTTTGCTTTTTTTTTTTTTTAAAGTAAAGCTTTGTTGTTTTGTAGTCATTCACTGACTTTCACTGAAGTGCTCAAGCAACAATTCCCTTTAGTTTTTACCTCTGTTTTAGGCGGAGTGTGCCGATTTTCCTGTAGACATCACTTGCTTCCCTTTCAGTTAACGCTGTTAAGAGTTTCTGGGACTTCAGACTCGGGTCACCACGCTAACCTCATAAATGCCTGGAGGGGTAAAGTGCAGGGACATCTTTCTCCTCTCTTGAGTTTCTGTCTTGGGGCATGGTAATGAATGCATTCTAATGACTTTCGGTAATTCTGCTTTGGGGACTACCTTTTAAGACCCACTAGCCTTTCATTCTCTTCTGTGCCAGTGAGTAATTTTCAGTGTCTTAGAATTTTTAATTCTTTCATGAAAGCAGCCTTTCGAACTGCTTTTTTTCCTCTTAGATCTTCTTGCCCCATTGGACTCTCTGTCCAACCATTTTTTTAAAAATTGTTTTGCTTTTGAAAATTATGCCTTTCAACATGAGGGATGCTTGTGGTACTGGAATGTTCTGTATCTTGATTGTTTTAATGTGAGCCTTCCAGGTGTGATGTTGTATTGTAGTCCTGCAAGATATTCCCATTGGGGAAAATGGGTGAAGGGTACATAGGATCTCTCTGTGTCATTTCTTACAACTGCACACGAATCTACAAAGATCTCAAAATTAAAAGATTAACGTCCTAGTAATTCAAGTGAGCTTTATAGCAGCATTTCATGATGTGCTTGACTGATCAACGTTGACATTTCCTGGGCATTTGACAATCTTATACTATTTTATGGTGTGACTAATATTTTGATAGAGAGTTTGGACAAGAGGGAGGGAGAGGCTAAGAGAAGAATAAGGTGAAGATAGTCTTCTGATAATATACCGTTGGACGCACAGTTATGTTACAAATTCAGCCGCTTCTAAAGCCAAGAAGTTTATTGGGCTGAGTTTCTCCTGCTGAGTTTAAAAAGAACGAGTATCACTCTGTTGTCTGAACCACTTGCACAGCAGACCACATGAAGAAAAGCAAATTTTTTTTTTTATGTTAGTGATTATTTTAAGTGGGAATGTTGTGAGCAAATGCCACATCTATGCCTCAATTTTTACATGTCAGTAGCGTGCAGGCCTGGCTGGTAGACAGCTGAGGAAGCAAGTTAGTGAGAGAAGCCTACATGTAAACTTCACAAAAGTGAGCGGTTTTAATGATGGGGAAGCAGTGAACAGCCCCTGTGCCCTTCTAAAATTTTAACTGAAATTCAGGGAACCAGGTTTTGATCCGATTGCAGTATTGATATCCGATGACAGCATATTAAGTATTATATGTATTAATACTGTATTATAGTTTTAATACAATTATATGTATTTACAATTGTTTTAATGTTTTAATACATTTTAATGTTTTAATATATTAATGTTTTATATAATGTATATAATATGTAATGTATAATATATAATATAATGTATAATATATAATATATGCAATATATGTTTTAATATAATTATATGTATTTAATACAATTATATGTATTAAATACACAATATTATATGTTTTAATATAATTATATGTATTTAATACAATTATATGTATTCATATTGTATTACAGTATTAATATTGCATTAATACAATATTATTGTATCACTATTGCAATACAGTAATTAATATTACTGTACACTATTACAGTAATATTAATACTATATTACTATATTAATACTATATTACAGTATTAATATCCGATTACAGCATATTAAGTCCAACAGGAGGGGAGAAAAATAAAACTGTGCTTTGCCGATAAGGGTATTCAGAGAAGCCTGTTGATGATGGAACGTGCTGCTTTGCTTTTGACGTACCAAAGAGAGGCTGGGGTATTCGCTGGTACTAAGTGAAGTGCTTTCTACATTGCATTCGTGGCTTTTGTCTTGAGAGACCACTGCTTGTCGCACAGAGAAGAAACGCGGTGGAAAGTTCTGCTAGAGCAGCAAACCTGCGTGTCTCAGGAGGCAGAGAGGGCTGCGTTGGGTCTGGTGAATCACAGAGACAAAGTGCAAGGGTCTGATGCCCCTGAACGCGGACAGAGTCCAGGCCAGACCGCAAGGGTGTGGCCAGCCAGAGCTCTCCCCCTCCCTCCTTCCCTCCCTGGCAATAGCAAACCGCAGGCCCGTGAGATTGCTGGGGACTGAGGTCTTTCTGTAGTCGAATCTCAGGCTTTGGGGCCATGCAGCCTTGTACCAGGGCAGAGTCGCCCCTCAGCTTATCCGGCCAATGGGTGAGGCACCCAGATGACTCAGAGGACAGTGGGTGTCCCTCTGTGGGACCCCTGCATAGACTTGCTCCCTGCACCACTGGCAATAAACCGCACCCAATATTAAAATCAGCAACTGCTGTCACTTTAGATTTTTAGGATTTAATTTTTTCGTTCCCTCTCTTAAAGGAGTAGATCGCTGTGTCTCTTTGAATTACCAAAATAAGCGTGTGCCTTAGGAAAAAAAAAAAAAAAGAAAATCTGCATTTAGAGCATCCTATATAAAAAAAAAAAAGTGAATGGTGATTTAAAAGTGGGATGTGGGGAGAGGGGTGGAGGCTGATGAGGGTGGAAGAAAATAGTAAAGTTTAGACAAGATAAAAAAAATCGCTAGCCAGATATAACTAAAGTTATTATCGTGATGCATTTTCTCTTAGATTTTTTTATGCCTATTTTTGAATGTATTTGACATCATATTCTATATGCAATTATGCATCTTATGTGCTTTTTGCTTAGTATGGTATCATAAGCATTTACCATGTCATAAAGCATTTTGGGGAGGATAAACAAATTTTAGGGTTGTATAACATGCTATTGCATTGATGTACCATCCTTGTAAATATCTAACAATAGACGAATGGTTAGGTAAATAGATTGGTTGTGGGTTTTCTTGCTTATAAGCTATAATGCTGGGAATGCCATTGGGTCTAAATCTTTGCATTTGACAATCTTTCTTTTGTAATTCATTCATTTATGTCATTTGCCTATTTATCCAGTTGATGTCTCCAGTGTTTTTTTTTTTTTAAATTGATGTCTATAAAATTTGAGCTATATAAAAATCAATTTTTATACACACAAATTTGTTATGGTATGGAAGTTTTACATTTTGGGGTTGTTAAGTCCATTGCATTTTTCCTTGTAAAATTTGCCACTGGCTTTAAGTTTAGGTTGAGTATCTATTCTTATTTAGAGAGTGTCCGAATGGTAAATGTAATATCTCAAGGCATGAAAAGATAACATTCTTAATTTACCTGCAGTGGGTTTTAATAACCGAAAAGGCTATATATTGATTTTAGTTTATTTTCTTTCCAATAACTAGCTAATTTTTTTATTCCTGGGTGAGTCAACCTAATATACACACACGTATATATATCTCACCTATAGTAAAAGGGTGAAGTTAAATCAGCTGTACTCTGACTTGAGTTACAAGTGCCTATATGCGTGTGTGTGCGTGTTTGTGTGTGTGTGTGTGTGTGTGTGTGTAGTGGGTATAAATATATGTAGTCTTAGTTCCTAGCCTAGTATGGAGTAGATGTTTAATTTATGGTGTTGAAATAAGCTTTTTAATGGAATGTAAGCCTTTGGTTTAATTGTTCCTGACGCTTAGCTGTACCCTGGCTTTTGGTTTCCACGAAACGCTTTTGATTATCTTATAATAAATTTCTCGGTGGCCGTAAGCTAGCTTGGCTCTGCCATTTGTACCCAGAAGCGCTAAGCAACGCAGGTCCTGTCGTCCGACTCGCTGTGTCCTCTTGCAGAAGGAGTGCCTCTCCATTCACGTTGGGCAGGCCGGCGTCCAGATCGGGGAGGCTTGCTGGGAGCTTTACTGCCTGGAACACGAAATCCAGCCCGACGGCACCATTCCCGACAGGAAACAGCGGGACCCGCTGGAAGACGCTGACACGGAGGAGCAAGCCAACGCGTCCTTCGATACCTTCTTTTGCGAGACGAGAGCTGGGAAGCATGTGCCCAGGGCACTCTTCGTGGACTTGGAACCAACGGTTGTAGGTAAAATAAATTTTACACTCCAGGCTACTCTTAGCCAGGTTCACGCTCAGAACAAAGAAGTCAACTGGGCCGGATTATCGGATAATTTTATTAATCTATTGGAATGGGATCACCTGTACCTTTTCCCAATCTAGAGGCGCCACAATGGCCATTTAGGGTGACCATAGCAGGACAAACACACCCAAAGAGAAGACTGGCGTAGCCTTCTTTTCTTGTGCGAAGACGTCATGTGAAACCTTGTTATCTGACCCACACAGGCATCATCCCAGAACACTAAATCTTTTCCTGAGCCCATTTGCTGGAAGAATCTGAAAATTTGAGGCATTATCTGCCTAATGAGAGTAGAATATTTGAAAATGATCCCAAAGAAGCAAGAACCCGAATAAATATTCTGATTATGGGGAAAATCAATACTATTGTATGATTATCAATGGCAGATTTTGTAGTATCTTGTGCAAAAACTCTTGAAACGGAGCTAGACAAATCCTGGAGAGAGAAGGGGGTCTCAATGACTTAAGGGAGAAGCCAGAGAGGAAGGTAGACTTGGGTTGATACTGTGAGTTGTGGTTGGCTTCCAGTTGACGGCTCTCTTCTTGGCTCGCAAATGGCCACCTTCTCTGTGTGTCTTTACGTTGTAGAGGCGTCACCTCTGAGTTTCTTCTCATGAGGGTTCTTTTTTTTTTTTTTTTCTGAGACAGTCTCACTTTGTTGCCCAGGCTAGAGCGAGTGCCTTGGTGTCAGCCTAGCTCACAGCAACCTCAAACTCCTAGGCTCGAGCAATCCTCCTGCCTCAGCCTCCTGAGTAGCTGGGACTACAGGCATGCACCACTGTGCCTGGCTAATTTTTTCTATATATTTTTAGTTGGCCAATGGGGTCTCGCTCTTGCTCAGGCTGGTTTCGAACTCCTGACCTCGAGTGATCCTCCCGCCTCTGCCTCCCAGAGTGCTAGGATGACGGGCATGAGCCACCTCGCCCGGCCGGAAATAAGTTTCTGATGTTTTAAGCCACCAGATTTGTTGTCATGTGTCACAGCAGCCCTAGGAGACTAAAACAAGGTGCATGGTAGAAAAACACATTTTCAGTTCATACGCAAAGGATTCTCCGTTTTCCCAGACTACGAGAGGCTAATTGAGCAGCAGGGATTGCTCTCCTGGACCACCACGCTGGGGCAGGACAGGGCTCAGGGCTCAGGGCCCGGGAGGACGCCCCAGGGGTTGGCAGCTGGACTGGTCCCAGCGCACTGACCTCCTCTCTCCCTCTGCAGATGGGATCCGGGCCGGGAGGTACCGCACCCTCTTCCACCCCGAGCAGCTGCTCAGCGGGAAGGAGGATGCGGCCAACAACTATGCACGAGGCCGCTACTCTGTGGGGTCCGGGGTCATCGACCTGGTGCTGGAGAGGACCCGGAAGCTGGCAAGTGGCCCCCTCCTCTCCCACCGGCATCACCTGTCTGCCCCTCCATCGCCACCCCCTGCCCTGCGCATGCGTGCTCAGAGCCCGCGTGCACGCCCAGGGCCCTGCTGTCGGCTTCGCTTCCACCTGGTCGCAGGGGAAGGGGCCCTGAGACCGCACTCTGATGGGGGAACCCCCAGTTTCCCTTGCTTCTACGAACACAGCGTTTATCTTGCTATCAGAGACCTCCAGAGCACTCTAAAACTTGTTTTCCAGTAGTGATCGCTATTTGTGAGGTTTACAAGAGGTACACCCTACCTGGAGATTAGTTACCTGTTATTAGTAATATTTTTGTTTTAATTTTAGCATATTATGGGGGTATAAACGTGTTAAGGTTTACGTATATTGCCCATGGCCTCCTCCCCTCTCGAGTCAGAGCTACAAGCATGTCCATCCCCCAAATTTTGCACATCTTACTTGTTGTGGTGGTATATACCCATGCCCTCCTCCCGCCTCCTACCCTCCTGACACCCGATAGATGTTACTCCTATATGTCCACTTAGGTCAGGAGTTCGAAACCAGCCTGAGCAAGAGCGAGACCCCTGTCTCTACTATAAATAGAAAGAAATTAATTGGCCAACTAATATATATAGAAAAAATTAGCACGGCCCGTGAGCGCATGCCTGTCTCCCGCTACTCGGGGAGGGTGAGGCAGGAGGGATCTGCTGGAGCGCTCAGCATATAATGAGTGTGAGGGTTGCTGTGAGCTTAGGCTGACTGCCACGGCACTCTGTAGCCTGGGGCACAAGCTGAGACTGTCTCAAAACAAGAAGTCTTACCTGCCTTGGCCTTCCGGAGTGCTAGGATTACAGACATAGGCCACCGCCCTCCAGCCCTAGTCACTCTATTATTGACAGTAATGCTTTGAGGGACCTGGGGCTGCAGACCCGGGTCGGGTTTGGGGTTTGGCCAATCCTGGGTGACCACCAGGCTTTACACGGGCACTCCAGAGGAAAGGGGGTTAGAAAGTATTAATCTGTTCGCGGCCAGGAGCGATTTTGCTGCAATAGTTTTGCCT